GCGTTGTCGTTCCGATCCAGGATAAACACGCTGACGGTGACGTTGCTGCTGGGGGGCGGCGCCCCGCCGTCTTCGGCCTTCACTTGCAGCTCGAACACCCGGAACTGCTCGTAGTCGAAGGAGCGCTGCGCGTACAGCGCTCCGGTCTGGGAGTTGATGGACACGTAGGAGGAGACAGGGACCTCCTGGATACTGCTGCGAAGGATGGAGTAAGTGACCCGGGCGTTGCCGTCCAGATCCCGGTCTGAGGCTTTGACGCTCAAAATGGAGGCCCCCGAGGGGTTGTTCTCGGGCACGTAGGCGCTGTAGGAAGGTTTCTCGAAGACAGGGGCGTTGTCATTGACATCCGAGATCTGCAAGAGGATGGTTTTCTGGGTGGAGAGCGGGGGGGAGCCCTTGTCTGTGGCCGTGATTGTGATGTTGTACTCCGGGGCCCGCTCCCTGTCCAGGGTGCTGACCGTAACCAACTTGTAGTAGCTAGTGGAAGATGAGGTTATAGTGAACGGCAAACCATCCTGCAAATGGCAGGAGACCTTTCCATTATCTCCAGAATCTTGATCGTTGACACTGACCAGCGCGATCACTGTCCCGGGCACAGAGTCTTCGGGAACGGGGCTGGGCAGGGATGTCAGGGTCACCTCGGGAGCATTGTCGTTCTCATCTAGAACCCTTATCTCCACCTTGCAGTGTGTCACTAGTCCGCCTCCGTCCTTCGCTTCCACCACCAGGGTGTAGCCCCGGGACTCCTCGAAGTCCAACGGCTCCTTTACCGTCAGTTTCCCGGTGTCCGGGTCCAGACTGAATCTCTGACGCGCCTTCTCCGGAACGTTGCTGAAGACGTAGCTGATCTGAGCGTTGGAACCTTCGTCCTGGTCGGAGGCTTGGAGCTGGAGCAGCAAGGAGCCCGCCGGGGCACCTTCCCTCAGGCTCACTCTGTAGAGCTCCTGAGGGAAGAGGGGCGGGTTGTCGTTGATGTCGGTGACATTGATGCGTATCTGGGCGGTCCCGGTCCTCGGCGGCTCCCCCCCATCCGCAGCCGTGAGGGTCAAGTGGAGGCTGCGCTGGCTTTCCCGATCCAGGGCTTTCTGCAGCACCAGCTCCGCGTATTTGCTGCCGTCCTGGCTCTCTTTGGCCTCCAGGCGGAAGTACTGGTTGGGGCTCAGCTGGTAGCGCTGCAGAGAGTTCACCCCGACGTCAGGATCCTCCGCTTTTCCCAGGGCAAAGCGAGCCCCTGGCAAGCTGGACTCGCTGACCTGCAGAGCGATGGCGTCTTGCAGGAACCGCGGGGCATTGTCGTTAATGTCCTGCACGGCCACAGTCACGTGGAAAACGTTCAGGGGATTTTCGGCCACGATTTGTATAGTTCTAACGCAGGGCTGCGAAGCCCCGCAGATCTCCTCCCGGTCTATGCGGTCACTCACGTACAAGTCCCCGTTCTCCCCGTTCACACTGAAGTGCTGCTTTTTCCCCGCCGAGAGAACTCGGAGCTTCCGCAGCGGCAGCTCCCCCCGCCCCAGC